CGGTCTCGCTCTGTCTTTCTGGCAAGCGCACAGGCCCTATAGCAAAAACTTCTCCAAAAAAAAAGATAATTATTTTATTTAAATTTATTTATTAATTTATTTTTATTTGACCAGAGAGGGACACAGTGAGAAAGCGGGGGTGGGGGACTGAGAAAACAAGCCACCAGGTGTAGGAATCAAACCGTGGTTAGCCATGTGAAAGTCCAGCATCCTTAACCACCATGCCACCTGCTGGCCACTTAGATTCATTCTTACTGACTCTTCATACAATGGAATAATTACTGTATAGGGTAGAATGTTCTTTGTGTGAAGGGAACCTAACACCCCATTAGCTTTTGTGATAATCACACAGTTCATTTATTTCAACTTTATGTTCTAAAATCCCCAGGCTAGGAATTTTAGATTTTTCCACGCTAGGGAAATATTGCAATCCAAAAGACTGATATCAGGTCCAGGGTAGCTAGAACCTCCACTAACAGCTCAGCTCTGACCTGTAGAGGTTGAGATAATGTCAGCAAAAGAAATGACAGTGTAAAGGAAGCTGGCCAAAGTGGCACCATGGTAACATGACTGGACCCACATGGGAAAGGCCCTGTGTTCAAGTCCCAGGATCTCCCTAAGCACATGGGGTATGTGTGCACATACCCATGATGCAGGCCAGCTGAGATTGGGGGCATCTTGGTGTGAAGAATCTGCTGGGGTGTCTCTCTGTCTTTCATGGGATAGTATTTTTTTTTTTTTTTTTGGAGAGGTTTTCACTATAGGGCGAGTGCACTCGCCAAACAGACAGAGAGAGACATAGAGACAGAAAGTGAGAAATCACCCCCCAGGGGGATGGTCACACCGCAATCCCTTCTCCTCCATTCTCCTCTCAGGATCTTGGGCACTCACGCACACGTGCCCGGCGTGAGTTTTAAGCCACCAGGTCCAGGACGCGAACCACGGTCAACTACATGACAGTCCATCAACATAACCATTACGCTAACTGCTAGTTCCCATGGGATAGTATTTTTTTAAGGAAGGAAAATTAAAAATTAGCTGAAACTTATGGTTTACAAAAACACTGTTTCATCATAGTGCTTTTCCTATGAGCAAGATCTTTCTCTTTACATTTTATGGGTGAGAAACTTGAGGCTCTCAGCTGGGTGATTTGCCTGAAGTCAGACAGATAAGGAACAATGCCACGACTCACACGGGACAGCAAGCTCAGGCTCCTGCCTCTCCACTGCAGTGTCACCTACGTATTTTCCTCAAAGCAGCCTCCCAATTTCCTGTCTTGTTTTCAGCTTGATGCCCACTTCTCAGGATGCCCCTCACGGGATATCCCTCCCTTTCAATTCTGCAATTATAATATCTAGACTCTCCCCTCCTTTCCCTCTGTCGTAAGTCTGCTGCTCAGTCTGCTGATAATCCAGGAGGCCATACGCCCAATTTAGTGAAGTTCCCTGTGACCGTCTTGTTCAGTCCAGGCAGTTCCACCTCTGCTCTTCTGGTACAGCACAACACATACCACCCTCGCTTTATTCTCATGTGCCTTTAGCCCATACCCTTTATAGGCTTAGTGAGAAGAGCAACCTTTTCTGATACATCTGTTGTTTGCTCCACACATAAAAAGTGTCCTTGATCAAAAGTATTTCATCGTATAATTATTTAATAAACATTTGTCTCATAGTTTATATAGTAAAAAATGCCAGACTAGTTCTAAGTTCTCTCATAATTTCAATCTCTCTTTACATTCTCTAGCTATCAAGATGAATATCCGGCCAGCAGGTGGCGTGGTGGTCAAGGAACTGGATCCCACACGGCCAGCTCACCAGTTTGAGTCCCAGACCCAGCAGCCTGAAAATCATGCAGGGCACCTGTGTGTACGTGCCGAGTTTCCAGAGGAGAATGGAGGAGAAGGGATTGCAGTATGGCCATCCCTTCCAGGGGACTAGTTTCTCATTTTCCCTCTGTCTCACTCCAGCAAGAACACATGCCCTATGAAAAAAAAAACTTAAAAAAAAATATAATACTTGCAGGGCTGGCCCCGTGGCCTGGTGATTAAGGAAGCTGGCATCCCCATGACTGGTTCCACCATGAGTGGTTTAAGTTATGGCTCCAGCAGTTGGCAAAACATGAGAGCATGTGTGTGCGTGCCCAAAACTCCTACAGAAAGGAGGGGTGGAGGAGACAGGATTGTGGTAATGATCACACCCCATTGGGGGGGTGGTTTCTCCCTCTCTTTATCTCTCTCTGGCAAGTGCATGTGCACTCTGGTAATTTTCTTTTTCTTTTTTTTTTTTGCTTTTTTATTTTTATTTTTATTTTATTTTTACTTTTTTTTTTTTCTTCTTTCATTTAGTTCATCTTTTTTTAGAGAGTTTAAGCCACCGGGTCCAGGACTCGAACCACGGCTGACTACATGGGAGTCCAGTGACATAGCCATTATGCTATGGGCTGGTCCCGACTCTTTCTAAAAAAATAAAATAAGATAAAAAGATTAATATACCTTGCTATTGAAATATTGTATTTTCTTTCTTTGCTAATTTAGTGTGTCAAGTGCTCATTTATTTTGTTCCCCCAGGTCACCTATATGATTGATCTATTCTGGGAACTTCTTCAGATGACCAGGATTATCTGCCTTGCCCTTCATGTCTGTTTTAGCAGCCCCTTCCCTTGGGTTGCTTTGCAGGAAATGTCTAGAGGAATACGGTACAATATGGAGGAATAGGTCTAGAGTACTGGTAACTCTGTTCAAAGTGTTTAGAAACAGAATTCTTTAGGCCTGGAAAGGGTTTTATGAAATACTAATTCAGGGGCCAGAAGGTGGTAAAAGCACTAGATTCCCACATGGCCAGTCATGGTTTAAGTACCAGATTTGGCAACTTGAAGATCATGCCAGGTGCATGTGTGTGCATGCCCAGAATCCCAGAAGAGTGAAGGGATTGTGGCATGGCCATCTCCCCTGGGGG